TTATAGTCCCAAAGTGTCTAATGGCAATGATAGCAACAGCAATGAAAAAAGATTCACATTGTTGGTGTACTTTTCCGGTGTTGTGGTACTATTATTATCTACTACTCACTGTACCCAAGCATTATTTGCACCTCCTGCTTTTTAAAATTTTATGTGAAGAGCTTTTTTATTTTATTCATTTATTTTTTGATGGCCCATCCAAAGACACTGTCCATTTACCTAAACGCTGTGACTTGAGAAGATAAGTCGAGTAGTTTATGGTTAGAATGTAAGTTTTAATTCAGGCTGGTAGTTTTGCAATAAATGTTTTATTTAGTACTGAACTGTGATTGAGTTTCTCTTAATAAGAAAATTATTCAAAATTCTGCTGAAAACTGAGTTTTTACTTTGCGAGCATTATTTTTAAAGTTTTGTCGTTTAGATGCATTCGAATCTACGTGTAATAGAATAAATCACATACACCCAAATAAACGCGCAAGACAATATTTTGCTTAAATTGTGTGTGATTTCTCTTCTCACTACATTTCCCTGGCTCCGAGCCTCAGGATCAGGCTTCTAATGCTCTTACAAGTCAGACGGAAGAGCTGTGGCAACTGAAGCGTGTCTTGTTTGTATTTTTATCCTCACGTGAAAGATCAAAGCTAAACCGCCACAGTAGTTGATATAAATAAGTCAAAGGCTCCGAGTCACGTGTCTGTCACGTGGCACAGCTGTCCCTTGTTCGGGTAGGGCCCTGCCAGGGTGCAGTAGCTCAGGCTGCGGGAAGAGACCCTCCGAGACAAGGTAAGCTCTTCTCTGCTTGCTGGTGCTCCTACGGCTTTGTTGAAGACAGAGCTGATATTATTCCCAACTCTCATGTCCGCTGTATCGTTTTGCGTTTATTTTTGTAAAGCTGCATGCTAATATATGCTAAACATCGGAATAAACAAACCGTCTGCTTGTATGCTAGCCGTGTTAGCGACAGCTAACAACGGATGGTCCGAGAAAGTCTCCGCTGATGCTGCTGCTCCAGGTTCGGCTTTGCTAGCCGTTCGGTTAGCCAGTCACATATCACTTCATAGTTCGCTGGCTGTATTCTTTCGGATTTTTATTATAACAGTAAACAAATATGTTTCTTTGGAAGATTTTAATCCGCTGCTCAAAACGTTTTTGTCATTTTTAGAGCCTAGTGAATTAGATTCAGCATCCAGTTCCAGGCTAGCCCTGGTTAGCTGGTGATTGGCATATAATCTCAGTCTTGTCATCAGAAAGGCTCATATTTGTGTGGTTTTATTTTGTTATATTGGCTCTTTCTGCCATTTATTGCCTTATTACATTGTAATTCAGCCCCAGCTGCGTTGTGGACGGTATTTTTCCTGTATTGATTCTAGTACTTAGATGATCATCGAGCATATTTTCTAACAGCAATTGTTCAGTTTTAGTGTCCCTTTGTGTCCTTAGGTCTGTTGATCGTATTGGACCATTATTATTATTCATTATTTTGGACGCTTCTCTTGCTTCCTTTGTCTGGTCTGGTTTTGTTAGCTTAAAATGAGACCACTCACTCAATGCTGTATGTTAATTTTTAAAAGGCTTAAATGATGCATTGTTCTTCTAAAATAGACAATTTACTAATGTAACATTCTTCTGAGCAGACCTTGAACTAGTGAGGAACTATTTCAGGCTCTTGCATTAATAATTAAAATTATTGGCTGTGGGTGTCAGGTGAGGGATATTAGTGGTTTGCATCATGACACATTTAGTCTGAGCCACACTTGCATAGCTCACAGCTTCAGTTTTTGTAACGTAAACCTTTGTTTATTCTGCATTTTCCAGCAGCCTTCTTTGGAATCCCCGAGGCTGCTTGCAAAGGCAGGCAGGCTGATGCGATGACGTTCTCTGGTGGAGCGGCTCCCCTGCAGGCTGATGAGAGGAGTCCCTTCTCCTCCTCTTTCTCCTCTCACATGCACACAGACAATTGGGAATAAACGAGAAGGACAGTGAGCGCAGAAAAGAGACGAGTTTGGAGAACAACTCGATCAACTGGAAGACTGTTTCATGGAACTGCCTGTTTTTCAGTTTACAGGATAAACCTGGATTTCTGAATAATTGTTCACCCCGCTTTCCTTTGTTGCCTTGTCACAGTCGAGGTAGCTCACTGATCAAATCCATCACAATGACATGAGTGCCTTTTGTTTTTGCAGCCGCTTGATTTTATTAATCCAACAAGATTTTTGACCCCTTTTTGTGCTTTTAGGGAAGTCTTGATTAATCATCTTTTATCACTATTGCAGGTCAGTGATAGTCTAGGGAAAGCATTAGTACTATGCATCTTTGTTGCTGTCTCACATCCAGCACAGAACCGTTAACCTCAGCGGAGGAGAGGAGCTCATAACAATACCCACGCCCTGACAAAAAGCCTCCCTCTGGGTAGTTTTCCTCTTTCATCTGAGAGGTGTAGACAGCTGCAGGGATGTTTGCTGCTGTGGAGCATGGCCCGGTGCTTTGTAGCGACTCCAACATCCTGTGCCTGTCCTGGAAGGGTCGGGTACCGAAGAGTGAAAAGGAGAAACCGGTGTGCAGAAAGCGCTACTACGAGGAGGGCTGGCTCGCTACAGGGAACAGCCGAGGAGTTGTCGGAGTCACTTTCACGTCCAGCCACTGCAGACGGGACCGGCCAACCCCACAGAGAGTAAACTTCAACCTCAGAGGACACAACAGTGAGGTGAGCTTACTTTGACTGGAAAAGAGTTACAGCTTATTCAAGCAAAAGTTAGATTTTTATTTTAACCTTTATTCCTGTTCCCTAAAATCATCCTTTTAACTTAATGTAGAACCCTGTTGAGTCCTTTTTGAGATGAAGGAACAAGGGTTTGTTTTGTTTTAGCCACAACTGATATAATTTATTAGAGGCAAGACGTGAAATATTCTCCCTGACTTGTGTTTTGACAGTCTTGCATCAGATCTCCCTGTTGCTCCCAGTCAAAACATTACAGCGCTCTAGTCTCCGGTGTTGTTCTTAACTCTCGGCGTGATTAAACTCTCCAAATGTTCCCACCAAAAGAGCACAGAGGTCGTGTTCAATCAGATTGAATATATGAGTATTTCTTGAGTGTAACATCTTGTGTGGGAACCAGATTTTGTCCTCGGTGAGCAACAGGACAGGCTGCACGCTGGTTGTGTTAGCGGGTGGAACTGCTGGTCAGATGGAACAATGTGCTATGTCAGCATTCCATAAGGCAGCTGAGGGGAGAGTGGATGAATCCGTACACGGAGTGACTGGAGCACAGCGAAAATGTTATTTAACTCTGCCTATTTGGATTTGGTCCAGGCAGTGATTCAGTAGAACTGGAAATTGTGTGTGTGTGTGTGTGTGTTAAACGATCTACCATGTTTGTTAGTGACTGTTTTCACGTCAAATTCAGAATCATCTTTTGAGGAAAAGGCATCTTTCTAGTTTTGTTGTTGGTTTAAAAATGACCTCTTCTTTTGTATGATTTGATCTAAAGTAATAAATAAATGCTTGGGAAAGTATGAATTCCACCTCTCACCGACTGTAAATAAATTTAAGTTTCTGACAGTAGTAGTAATTAAGCAGCATATAATGAATTCGTTCAGGAAGTGACAAATCTGTTTGGTCTTTATTGTAATTTTTCATCCTGTTTCTGATACAGAGTGGACAGAATGCACCATAGATTACAAAACAAAGGAAACAACCTTCGCAGGTGTAGCGTGATGAATTGTCCATTTCTGACCTAAAGGCTCTGCTCTATTTTCTCTGCCCAAGCAAAACCATAAGTTTCCGACACAAGCCTAATCTACAAGATACGGGCCAGGGCCACTCATGCTCTGTGCTCTTATCTAAACTGCTGCTTCTCTGGACAGCACAAGAAAGAAGACCGAACTCTTTCTATTTAAATAGTAATCAAATAACGTCTGTTAGTCCAAATAATCATGTGAAGCTCAATGTTCAATCAATCTGTGAAATGAGAATATTAATTCCTTAATATTATAATTCTACAGTATATAATAAGTAACATAACTTTAAATATGTACACTAGACTGATCACACGTAATGCTAAAGTCCAATCAGAACCTTCCAGATCTGACGCGAGGCGTGGTTTTGTTGGTGCTTGTATAAATCCCCTTTTGTTGTCAAACTCTGATTCGACAGTAAATCAAAACATCCAAATTATAAAACTAATCCCCACGTTAGGGCTGCTCAATTAATCAAATTTTAATCACAATTACGATCTGAGTTTTGAACGATTATAAAAACAAAACAAGCCGATTATTTGCTTCTCCCACTTACGCTGCCCTGAATTGCAAATGAAGCGCTCCTCCCACAGTGTCGCCAACTTAGCAACTTTGACGCTATTTCCAAAAGCTTTTCAGACTGCTGTTGTGTCCTTGGGCAAGACACTTCACCCAACTTGCCTGTGTTAGTGTTGGTCAGAGGGGCCGCCGGCACTAAATGGCAGCCTCGCCTCTGTCAGACCTCCCCAGGGCGGCTGTGGCTACAAGTAGCTTACCATCACTGGCAGTGTGTGAATGTGAGAGTGTGTGGAAAGCGTCTTTGGGTGTCTAGAAAAGTGCTATATAAGTTCAATGCATTATTATTATTATTAAGGGGGACTTGGCCTGGAGACTCCGCCTACCCCCATTATCGACCCCGCCCAGTCGATTGGCACCGCCCCCAAGACACACCCCCTTTTGGTCCCCAACACTTAGCATTTTCACTGTATAATGTTAAGTAGTGGGCGTGGCCAGGGGAAGGAGGCGTGGCCTCGAAACTCCGCCTACCCCCCCATTTGTGGCCATGCTGAGTTCATAGACACGTGACTCGAGGCACTTGGGACCTTCCTAGCCCCAAACCGGAAGTGGGGTTAGGTAGAGTAGATAGAGTAGATGTAACTCAGTGAGATCCCCCTGAATCAGTGCATTGACCAAAACAGTTTGGATTAGGGATTCACTGGCAGTGCACGGGCCGCCGCATGTCACTCAAGAACTCCCCTCCAGTTTTTGGGTCGTATCAATGAAGAGTAAAAGCAAAGTAGAGAAAAATGAAAGAACAGAGTAAAGAAAAAAAATGAGGAAAAGAATAGAGGAAAAGAAGAAAGAAAACTAGAACTGCAAGCAGTTATCAACGGGTTCCAAGCCACCAGCGCCAGTCGCCCACCCGCCCCCGCCCTCAACTTCCCCACTCCTCACGCAGCCCCGCCCCAAAGACACGTTCTTCCGCCGGCGTCCCGTCCTATTTTTAGGGTGCAACGAGACTGTTTTTAAGCCCTCTTTCTGAGGTGGTCTGCCGGGGACACACTGGCCGCGGAAGCGCCGCGAAAATGGGACCGCCTTCATTCGGCGCCCTTGTTAAGCTATTCTATAGACCACATGGGCCGCCGAAGTGCCGCGAATCGCCTCGCGCTGGCGCGCGCTGGCGCTCCAGCCCACGCCGTGCAGCGATCATTTCGGCGTTGGCTCTATTTTTTTCGCGAGCCGCGTGTGAATCGCGTCAATTCTGGCAGGAAGTCAAACGTAGACATAAGAGGCAGGCCGGTAAAGTTAACAAAATAAAGCATTTCAAAATAAAATTCTGCAATAGTCAAATGTGTTCGTAAACAGACACTGCAGAAAAACCACACGAACACGCACACACATACACACACATCGAACTTGTGTGCGTGTGTGACCACGTGAAGGGGGGAGTGGTTTTGGGTGTCTTTTCACCGGAGTAAACAGGACAGAGAGGCAGAAAGTCTGAGGCAAGCAGTTAGGATGGATGACTTTAAATGAATTATGGAAGTTGAGAAACACAAGGAGCTGTACGACCCCCGAAAAACATGATTGTTTACGTACCCATGTCGGAAGAAACTGCTAGGATACAGCTGCAGAATTGGAGCGGGTTCCAAGAGATTCAACTGGCAGAAACAACTCATACCATAGGTTCACACACACACACGCGCGCGCGCGCACGCGCACAAACACTCAAACGTAGGAAAAGAGCTGAGAAAAGGCAGAGAGGAAATGGAGGACACCAAGTGTTTAAAATAAAAACTACAGCTGAGCCGAGGCGCGCCTCGACTGGGGCGCGTCTGATCTGAACTGAGGAGCGGCGAGCAGCGGCCGAATTTCGTGAGCGATTCGCTTCTCGGCGCTTCGCGGCGCTTCGGGGCGCTTCCGCGGCCGGTGTGTCTCAGGCTGACCAGGGCCAACACTCCCCCTGCTGACAGCATATTCACACCTTCCACTAGAGTAAGCCTCTGATTGGTGGGTAGGATCAACCCACATGGGCTTATGGCATGCTCAATTCATTCTCATTCATTATCATGCTGATTACCTAGAACCTAAAAATGTCTCTGACTGCATTCCTTGCATACCTAAGCAAGGATGTGTGGAATCAACCGGGCCAAGCTGGGGCCATCTGGAGCTATCCGGGCAGGGTCGACCAGGTACAGATGGGAATGGCTCTAAAAGGTTGAAGGATCGATCCCAACTCTGACCAGAACGTGACATAAGCTCCAGCCTACCCAGTTAACACAACCTGAGAATCTTAGCCTCTTACATGCAAATAATGATTTTTAGGAAATTTTTCAAATTTGGAATTTTAAATTATCATAAACCACGCCCACTTTGATCAATCATTACCATATTGATATTGTAGTCTTACGACTCTATACTAATGACAACCACTATGTTTCGTGCAGATCCATTTAGCCAGTTCAGCAGTATAATTTCTTCTTATTTATAGCGCCCCCTATTGTAGAATCAAGCTGAAAATCAAGATATCCACTTGAATTGACCTTAGGTATGGTGGTTATGAATAGCTTTGAAAAATGTCAAAATCTTTTGAAGTTATGCTAAAAAAACAGTTTCATTCCCCAAAAATTATTTTAAAAAATCATATAAAAACAAATAAGTAAATTATCCAGAATCCCTTCACATCGTTTGGTCAGCCGCTCCTCCTCTCTTGTCAGGGAAAGTAGTGATGTGATTGTGTTGGACGGCCGGGAGGAGTTAACGAAAGTACGTTTGACTTACTACGCAAATTTCTACTAATTAGCATAAGTTTAAATTATTTTTTTAAATACTCATCTAAATTTGACTGAATCAATGAACATACTGGATGAGACCATTTGTTTTTTTGCGAATGTAATGGGGAGAAACATGCCATAAACATTTTTGGGGTACAACAGCGCCATCTATTGGACAAAATTCTAATTTTTTTTCTGTGATTGTAGATGTCACTATGACTGATTTGATTTGTAACTTTCTGTACAGAATATATATTTTTCATGAGTAAAAGGGCGAAAACTTTTAAAGCCTATTTAAAGCCTATAAGCCACGCCCACTTTTAAATCATTTTCGAAATATAGCGTAAGGGTCCAATGATAAACATATCTGCCAAGTTTTGTGGAAATCCATCAAGCCGTTTTGCTGAAACAGACTTTTTGAATCTTTAGCATCCCCTATTGGTGAATCCAAACAAAATTGCGTAGATAGGGTTTACCGCTCATACTTTGTAAGGGTCTAGATTCTCATCATTTTATCTTGAAAATTGTTGAAGATATAATCAATTAGGACATGTGCTAGTTAGCGCACTGAATTTGACATGGTGTCATTAACCCAATTTTCAATAATTCCGCATTTTTCTTCATCACAACAACTTCTCTTCCTCCATAGATCATATGTTCAAAGGTTGAAGTTGATTCGACGAAAAATGACGAA